CCTGCAATCCCAGCCAACATGGCTAATGATACAGGGTGAAGAGAATTTTATTCAGACATATTTGAGACATAATCATAGATTTCCTATCCTTGCTTAATTTCTTATTTTCAAGAAGAGAAAAAACAACGCACAGGTAAGTGACAGTGTTTTCAACGCAGCAGGTGCTGGGAACTGTTCTCAATGTATGACAATGCCTACTATATATTTCTTGCCATTCTGCGTATAAACTCCTAGGTTTTTTTGTTTTTTTTTTACATGGATGCCTGAACGCAATGCCTGTCAGATAAAAAGGGCTGTACTATTATTATTCCTGGGCAGCTGGACTAATTTCAGTAATAACACAACATCTAAATAAGATTAAATTGCAGATCCTTCCTTTCAATTTACACTGTGAGATGACATCCTGTATCTCAGAGAAAGCCAGTCAAGCAATATGAATTTAATAAATCTTAATTATTTGCATAGCAAAGAACTTTAATAAGATTGTGCACTATGCAAAGAAAAGCAAATCACACTTCTGAACCCCAATAAACCCCAATCTTTCATTTTTTTATTGATGCTAAGTACACTGGGGCAATATTTTGCACAACAGGGAAGGAGACATTTGTGTTCATTATTTTTATATTTGTTTTTACAATGCTCTGAGGTATGCAAGGAGCCAAAGAACTGTTGCTCATTGTCAAATTAGAGAAAAGCCACAGGATACAGGATCTTTAATTTCTCATTTTGATATTTTGATCTCTTGTTTATGATAAAATTGCATTAGTGCATATTTTTAAGGTAAACCATGTATCCTGCTTCCAATTGCTGAACTGCCACAACCCACTGATTTACAAACTATCCAACTGAATTTTACATGGGTAGATTGTACCAACCCTTTCTTAATATTTCAATCTATATACAATACAAATAATTTCAGTGGAAATTATTTTTAACTAAACATGAATAGGACTGCATTGCATGTGGCCACCTCTATTTTTAATTTAAAAAATGTTATTATAGGCAGCCAATTCTTCTATTGCTACTACAACTATTGCTTCTCAGCCAGAACCACACAGCCAAATAATGTATATATTTTACAATAAATAATGAAAAATGGTCTTGGTATGTTCCTTGAACTTTTATTTTGGTACCCTTTTCATAAGATTTTTTTTGTCTCAATATCTGGCAATCTTCCAACCAGAATTAAATAAAGCAAGTTTTTATCCACCTTAGGAATGTAAGGCCTGACATTATCTGTGGCTTGTTTAAAATGTTGAAATAAATAACTCCCTCTTGAGTCCCTGTATGTTGATTAAGAATGAAATCTGATGCCTCTTTACTTAGGAATAAGCCCTGTAGAATTTCAGGATTTACTTCTGAAAATGAGCAATAATATATACAAAACTGCAGATTTTGCAACCCGTGTTTTCCATTTCTCAGATGTCATCTCACTTTTGGGTCTCTTTCAATCCCAGGAAGATCCTTCACCCCCAAACAAATGAACAAAGTAACTGAAATATTGGGATTAAATAATTCACCTTAATATGAGTAAAATTAGTATCTATCTATCTATCTATCTATCTATCTATCTATCTATCTATCTATCTATCTATCTATCTATCTATCTATCATCTATCTATCTATCTATCTCCTGGTTCCTTTGTGTTCCTTTGAGGTTTTGCAGCAGATACTCAATGATATCTCAGTAGATGGCAAGTCAATATGTAAAAGGTTATTTCAAGGCAAGACATCCAAAATCCCTTGGCTTACATGTATCCGTTTATGATTCTAGACACAAATGTGAAAGAAATTATCCTAGACTTCAGCTTCCCCATTGGGAATGTTGCCAGCAATCCTGCAAAAACAATGATTTCTGGGAATGTATAATCTCTAATCATTTTATGTCTTACTAGATTTATTGCATTTCTTTCTTGTATTTTCTTCAGAACACTTAGAGATTCATATTCCATTCTTGGATTTGATTTCTTGTATTTTCCAAGTTGGACTCAAGAGGGAATCTAAAATCACTTTCTAGGCTTCTATGGCTGAAGGTGCATTAGAATCTTGGGCTCCTTAATCACAGTCTCACATCTTAACCACACATTGGAAAAGCCATTGGAAAGTAATTGGGGGTAGAGTGAAAAACTTTCTCTTTAGCATTTTAATGAATCTCTTGCATTTTCTTATATCCTGGAATAAAACAAGGCTGTTAACCACTCTCATAACTGCCTTGGTTGCTCCCATAAATTATTTGAAGCTAAGGAGAAGTTTCCTGAAAAAAGCTTTGAAATTTTATTATCCAGAATTATTCCAGGAAGCCCCTTGAACTCCAAATATCCAAAGCAAGTAGGCTAATAGAGAGAAAGAGAAAAACTTGTCTGAATTTAAAGGTCAATAAGAGATGTGATAAACAGAAGAGGAAGAATTCCACATGGATATTTTGGAATGCTTAACAATGTAGGTTTAGATGACCTGAAGCTACTTGGTTTTGCCATATAGAAAATTCATTATGTAATGCATATAATTGGATTTTGAGATATTTGACCAGAGCTTGTGACTGGATAGTTAAGATCAATGCTACTGTTCCTATGTGCACTCTTAGTGGTAGAAGTATAAAAGAACAACACACTGTGAAAGACAGGAATCCCTGTCTGAATCAACACAGATAGGCAGCATAGTGCAAAAGGGCACCAATGCGCCCTTGGATATCTTACTTCAGCACTGTTAGTTATTCACATCCACTTTAGCAACATTTCAGTTAATGTTTCCCATGTAATAGCTAACTTGTGAGAGACCCACAAAATGCTTTCAAATATGAATACCAGCCCCCAAATTTGACTGCTTCTGACTTAACTAATCAGAGATTGCAACAGCCTGAATAATTTTCTCAGTGTGATGTTTTCCAGATCTATTCAATTTCACAACTACGGCACCATCTTGGGGATGACTAGTTTGAAAAGTCCCATGGACTGGCTATCCCATCAGTCAATTCCCTACTTAACCCCTGATAAGATTGTAAAATCTTCAAATGATTAGGTACTGTTAAATAGCATGATTTACCACAAAGCAACACATGGCCACAGAAGTATAGAGGATGAAACAGGACATAAATTTATTGAGATAATGAATCCAAGCCAACATGGAGATTATGAAGGTTAAAGTATTAGGATTACGTGGCTGGTCTACGGAGAACTAATAGCTATTGACTGCTTATCTGAAAATTCTTCAGACAAGCTGTCTGTTGAAGTCTAATTTAGTTCCTCTTCTATTCACAGCATAAACTTTGGGGAACAAAGAGATAAAGGCCTATTTGTCTAAGAAAAGCCAAACTTGAACTACAGTTTATATGTACTTAAACATCCAAAGGAACAAACACTTTCCATAGCTCTATGCAAACTATTATTCTGTCTTTATCAAGAATATCTTTCTTTTCCAACTCTGGAAACAGTGACCAAGAAATATACCTATTACCTGTAATTACCTAAACCAAAAGACATTGGCCATCTAACTGATGGTTTAAAGAAATAATTCAACAATTATATTCTCCATAACATAATAATTTTACTTCAATAATCTCTAAGATGTGCATATGTAATACAATAGTATGTATGTATGTATGTATGTATGTATGTATGTATGTATGTATGTATGTATGTATGTATAGGTGATATTCAGCAGGTTCTGACCAGTTCTGGATAACCGGTAGCAGAAAATATGAGTAGTTTGGAGAACCGGTAAATACCACTTCTGACTGGCCCAGCCCCCATCTATTCACTGCCTCTCGAGTCTGAGTTGATCGGGAGGAAATGGAGATTGTGCAGTAACTTTCCCCTGGAGTGGGGTGGGAATGGAGAGTTTACATTATCCTTCCCCTGGAGTGGGGTGGGAATGGAGAGTTTACATTATCCTTCCCCTGGAGTGGGGTGGGAATGGAGAGTTTACATTATCCTTCCCTGCCAGGCCCACCAAGCCACACCCACCAAGCCATGCCATGCCCACCAAGCCACGCCCACAGAATTTTTGAATCCCACCACTGGTATGTATGTACATACGGTATGTACACATACACATCCCTCCTACCTTTTTCTTGTGGACAAAACAGCCTTACCTTTCTGAATAGGTTTGGTTCTTTGAAATGGCTTGTCATCTGTTTAAAAAGATACAGTTTTAAAGCATTAATCAATGCTAGTACAATTTAAAGTGCAACACTTTATTCACAGGGTGGGATACTGTTTTAAAAACTGCCTTCATTTGGACGGCTTAGAAGAGCAGACAGTTTATCTAATGAGTTTTATAGTACCATACCATTTAAATTCTTAATGGTTTGATTTCTTTACAGTTTAAATCAGACATCCACTTAAGGCAGAAATGACTTAGGTATTACTGACCCCTACTGATATGATATTACTTTGCAGGAAGTAAGATGGATAAAAAATTTAGACCCATAAAAAATTAAACACATTGACTTTTCCTGGTATTATGTTTAATTCAAACATGTGGGTATTGAGAAAAACAAAATACTCTGCACCTAGTAAAAAAACCTTTGCTTTCTAAATATCAGAAAGCAAAGATTAGAACCAGAGCAGCCAAAAGAAAAAGTGGCTGAGACATCCAAATTTATAATTCCAAACAAGCTGAGTGGTGCTGGGTCTGAGGACACTCAACAAAAGTCCCATAGAATATATATTTGGCATACCATTTTTCTCTCTTCCCGAATGATATGTATCAAATAACAAAGCATACTAATAAGCTATAATTTCTCTAGGACGAGGAGCCAATGGAATAAATGTATTAGACTAAGATAGAAATGTTATACAAATCATATTCAATCATGGAAAGAAGGCTGGGCCCCTTTAGGTGTTGGAAATTAATATCTTTCACTGTAAAATCCCCATTTCCACCCCACTCCAGGGCAAGGATACTGTAAAATCTCCATTCCCTCCCCATCCCACTAACCCGCTTTCCAGCTCCGTTCTCCTGTGCAGGGCAACAGAAGAAGATTCAGCCAATCAGCTGGGAAGCCAATCAGCTGGGACTCGGGAAGCAGCGAATAGATGGAGCCAGCCAGAGATGGTATTTGCCAGTTCTCTGAACTACTCAAAATTTCTGCTACCGGTTCACTAGAACCAGTGAGAACTGGCTGAATACCACCTCTGCTTTCATAACTGCCCATGCTGGGTGGGACTGCTGAGTGCTAAAGTATTAACTTCTGGGATACATGTGTTTTCCAGCCTTCTCCTGGAAAGTATAGGTACCACCATCTTTAATGGCCGCTATCTAATGTGTATTCATACACTAAACAATCAAAATAAGGGTAATTTTTTTTTGGGGGGGGGGAGAAACAGGGTAGATTTTTTTCATAAAGAAGCTATTTGCTGTTCCATGATTCGTTTAAAGATGTCAAGGAATTTGCATAACCAGTACGAGATGAGTTGTTTTGTATTTTCTGTAATATTTAATCCTAGACAATTTCTGAGTGGACTGATCAGATTTATATTAAACATAGTTGTATTTTGGGCAAGAGGCCAGTGCGTAGAATAATTTTAAAATAAAATTTAGGAATGTACAGAATAATTTGAAGAAATTCATAGTCACACTGCTTCTAACTGTTCTCAGATCATAAAACCTACCAATGCATTATTGGAGTCCTTCAGTTTGGACTTGTAGAGCATCCATTGGTAACGCAATTCCTCTAGTTCATCCCAGTTCTTGCCAGCTGGTTGAAGATGGAGAAGTTCTTCAAAATGATATTGACCTTCAGGGACCCTTAGCTGAAGCTCCTGTAGGGAAAAGAGGCATCAATGTTGAAGGTATGATAGAGGGAATGAATAGAGCTCTGCCAACTTTGAAAATGATATAGGAATTTATACTTATGGACAGTGTCAGACCTGGCACAAACTTAAACCTCTAATTAGAAAACAATCCTTGGCTCCATTTGCTGAGAAAGGTATATTTTATTAGAGATAAAGTGTATTGCAGTAATGCATAGCCAGAACTGAGCCAAAATCCCTACGTTATACTTTTCCCTTCTTAACTTTCATTTTCCACCCCAAGGTTACCAATTAAACTCTTGCGAGCTGTTTTCTTAATGGTCAGCTCAATTGTGCTCTGGTATGCTACTACTTCCTTCTTTCAGCTGAGTGACCTTGAAGCAGCTTCTTGAGATGGCACAGAATTTACTTTCGTTTTCCCAAGCATGCCCCCCATTCGTCACCCTTCTCCATAGTTCATGGCAGATTCTTACTGCATATCAGCGAAACATAAGCAAGGTCCAGCTGTAGTACATATTGGAGGGATTTCAGAAGTATTTTCAAGCAGAAAATTTTTTAACAGGATTATCAATTCCACAAATATGCTAAAGCATAAACATATAATACAATGTCATTCCTTAGCTTGGTACTTCATGTTTAGTATTTATCAGACTTTCAATTACCTTAAAATATAGATTTGAGGTACTCTTGGATCTGTATTGATCAGGGGATCAGTTCTAAGAATGAGGCTGGTCACAAGCTATGCCATTTTGGGGAAGGAAAAATTGGATCAGATTCATGGATCTATTTGGATTATAATAAAGTGCTTGCATATAGCCACAATTTGTTTTTCTCCCCAACAGTGCATTTCATAGCTATCAATCCAGCCATCAATAGATACATATAAACAATGTTTACTACTTTTCAAAGGACACAATAAAAGCTAAGAATAAAACAAAAAGACCAGAACACACCCTCACCATCAGCCAACACCCAGATAAACAAGGATTAATTCCAGACAAACAATCAAGCAGAAAATAATTCTAATCAAGCAACTACCAAGGAGAAAATCACATCCCCACCAACAGAAGCAGAACAAGCTACTGTATATAAACAGGGGGCAAGCCCAACACTCACTCACACTAATGATGATAACCAGTTGATAAAGAAACATCTGAAAACAAACAACCAAGCTCAGACAGCAACAAAGACTCCAGCAAATAGACCATTTCACATAATTCTTGGAATCATCATACTGGCCTCCAAATTGTTTCTAGGAAATTTGAACGTTGTTTTGATTTTTAAAGTCTTAAATCAGAGATGGGGAACTTATTCTTCTGATTGTCCCTACAGCAACTCTATCTGCATGACTGGAGCAACTGGAAAGTCATGGCTTCAAGATCTCCTCCCCCCACCCCACCCCACCCCACATTGGGTTTTGGAGATTTCACGAATGAGTGTTTCTAATGATGCTACTGAAATTTGTTTGCAGAAGAGCCCAAGTTCTGTTTTGGCATCTTTAAGGATAGATAGAAAAGACCCCATTTAGAACTCTGAAAATGTACTTCTAATAGTCAAAACTGAATTCAGAAACACATTTAACAACATGGTACCAAAATGCAAGGTTAATGTGGAAATTCTGGGGTTGAACTAACCTTTAGTTTGGTGTATCTTGCTTCAACCTCTTCATTGCTTGATAGATCCAAGGCAAGAATTTTAGATAGTTTGTTGTTTTCTCTTTGCAACCATTGTTCAAAGTTCTTAATAAGTTGGAGCTCATTGGTATCTTCCCCCTCAGCCACTTCCCTCTGAATTATAGAAAATGAAGAAAAAGACATAATGTGGAGAAAACAAGAAAATAAAACATCTCTTTCATCTATACACAAAGTTTCTGAAAGTAGATGGCTTTTTTAGTGTACAGAAGAGAAAAGGATTATTTCGCACTGATTGATAGATTGAACTAGGGAAGAAATGACAGATATACTGAAAAGAATTTAAGTGTCATCCCAAGATATATACACACTTGCACTGGTAAATAACTATTATTAAATAATTTGCTATAGTTACTTTTGAGATTGCAAAGTTTAAATTGGAATAAGCAACCTGTGGCACACCAAATGTGATAATAATAGCAGGGCACTA